GCTTCTCGCAGTCCCCTCTGTGTCTCGGCTTTCCTCGGGGACCCCAGCGAAGGCAGCATGAGGGAGGGGCAGGTGGGCGGGTGGGGGTACGCGGAGGGAAGGGTGGTGTGCCTGGCCTCTGGCAGCCGGAAGGGATCTCCTCTCCTCCGGGGTCAGGGAGACCACCTGCCTCGGGAGGGGGTGGCAGTGGGTGCTCCTTCGCTGGACGACCCTCTCTCGGGAATGGGGTAGGTATGTGGGGCTCTCTTCCGGCTGTGCTCCTGCAGAGGGCTGCAGGGGGTTGGACTGGATGACCCGCCAAGGAGGCCCCTTCCAACTACGATTCTATCCCCCTGCGCAAGCAATGCAGGACATTCGCAAGTACCTTTCCCCACACGCACACACAACGTGACCCCTGTTCCACACCCAGAAGATGACAAAACAAAATCCTCCAGGATCCCCAGCCAAACTGATCTGCAAAAAGATTGCCTCCTGACTCCAAAGTGGCAGACAGCATTTCCCTCCCTGGGCGTGTCAGAAAAGGTCAGGAGAACTAAGGGAGCCCTTTAGGAGGCCTTTTAGGTTCTCTTTCTGGTTGCGCGACCAGCAGTCCTGTTTGCAAGCCCGTGCTGGGCCGCGTCACGCTAGGAACACCCGCCCCCTATTCCTGTTGTGTTTGGGATCCTGAGGTGGATTTGGATTTGGGTGTGGGAAGCTGAAAGTCTTCTTCTGCCAGGAGACTACCCCACAAGGCTGAAAGACAGCTTGGCACTCCACTGAAGGGCTGGTGAGGTTCAAAATATGAAATGAGCGCACGCTGCGACAGGCAGCATTGGCTCTGCTTTGCTGACCTGCTGTGTTGAGGCTCCAGATGGGTTTTCTGAATAGCTCTTCGGTCTGCCATTCCCGTCGGTCTCCAGGACTAGGCCAAAGTAACATACCAAGTGTGCTGCAATGGAATTGGTTTGAGTGCTAGAGCATGGGCTTTTCAGTTGTCTTGAAAGGGATGTGTGTGTGTTTTTTAAAAAACAAGACTTTAAATGACCAGACTGGGCTAGTCTCTTGGCAGGGGAGAGGATGCTTTTGAGGGTCTTGCTCAGGTGGGGGACCCCCCCCACTTATGATGAGCTTTGACTAGGAAGCTTTTACCCTGCATTTAGAAAGGACAGCTGTTTCTCAAAAACAAGTCATGTCAGACTAACCTTATCTCTCTCTCTCTCTCTCTTTTTTTTGAGAAAGTTACTACCTTGTTGGATCAGGGGAATGCTGTGGACATAGTTTATCTTGATTTCAGTAAGACTTTTGATAAGGTTCCACATAATAGTCTTGTTGACAAATTGGTAAAATGTGGTTTGGGTCCTATGACTGTTAGGGGGGATCTGTAACTGGTTGACAGATCTCACCCAAAGAGTGTTTGTGAATGGTTCCTCATCCTCTTGGAGAGGAGTGACAAGTGGAGTGCCTCAAGGATCTGTCCTGGAATCTGTTTTGTTCAACATCTTTAGCAATGATTTGGATGATGGGGTAGGGGGAATGCTTTTTAAATTTGCAGATGATACTAAATTGGGAGGGGTAGCAAATGCGGTAGAAGACAGAGTCAGGATACAGGATGATCTTGACAGGCCGGAAAACCGGGCTAAAACAAATAAAATGAATTTCAATGGGGATAAATGTAAAGTTCTGCATTTAGGTAGGAAAAATCCAATGCATCATTATATGTTGGGGGAGACTTGTCTTGGCAGTAGTATGTGCGAAAAGGATCTAGGGGAGTATCAACGGAAGTATAGTGTCCAGATCATGCAAAGTGACGGTACTGCTTTACTCTGCTCTGGTTAGACCTCACCTAGAGTATTGTGCTCATAATTTAAGCTGGAACGTGTCCAGAGGAGAGCAACAAAGATGGGGAGGGGTCTGGAGACCAAGTCCTAGGAGGAAAGGTTGAAGGAGCTGGGTATGATATGGTGACATCATAACCATCTTCAAGTCCTTGAAGGGCTGCCCTATAGAGTATGGTGCAGAGTTGTTTTCTGTTGCCCCAGAAGGTCAGACCAGAACCAACGGGGTTGAAATTAAATCAAAAGAGCTTTCAGCTAAACATGAGGAAGGACTTCCTGACAGTTGGGGGGGGGGGGGTTTCCTCAGGAGAACAGGCTTCCTCGGGGGGGGGGGGTGGGCTTCTCCTTCTTTGGAGTTTTTTTAAGCAGAGGCTAGGTGGTGTCAGACTCCTGGTCAAGTTACTCTTAACAACAGCAACCCTTATCGGGAGAGATATATGGTTCCGTTATCTACAAGCCCAAGCTGGCACCGAAAGTCTCAAGGCCACAAGTGAAAGATTCCCGGCTCCCACACCTCAGTCACTCCCCTCCTCTCAGGAATGTCCCTCCCCCCATCGAAGCTGGCAAACTGAGCAAAACGGAGCAAGGTTTGACAGATGGGCCACCTGACAGCCATGCTGATTCTGTGAACTTAGGCAGGTCATGATATGGGAGGGCTGCCTCAGGGCTTGGTTATCCCGGCCCTTTCTGAGACGCTGACCGCCACTTTGGGGCCAGGAACAGTGCTCCCTCTAAGCTGTGGTAGTCTTGTGAGCAAAAATCCTACTTTGTGTATTAAAGTTGTGAGCGAGCGGTTTGGCTACTGCACAAATTGGTTGGCTCTGGAGCCCTCCTTCCTGAGCGAAGACAAAAATGTGTGAGCCGGAGGCTAAAAAACTCGGCTTAGAGGGAGCACTGGTCAGGAAGCCATTTTCCTCCAGGCCAGTTTGGCCAGGGATCCTGGAGTGTCGTTTTTTTGTTTTTGTTTTTGTCATCTTCTGGGTGTGGGACAGGGGTCCCTGGGGGCGTGGAGGGGGAGGTGTTTGTGAACGTCCTGCCTTTTGCAAGGTGGTTGGGCTAGATGAGCACGGAGGTCCCTTCCAGCTCTTGTGATTCCATGAAACCTTGTTGGTCTCGGAGGTGCTGCTGGACTCCAGCCGAGCTGCTCTGCTGCAGTCCAGCACGGCTGCTCCCTTTCCAGGGCGTCCCTGGCCTTGCTCTTGGCTTGGGCCTTTTCTGCAGGTTTCCTGCCTTTCTGCACTCGGGAGGACAGTTGCCTGTCGCAGCTAGCTTCTCAAAACCATGCTCTGACGCAGGCCTCTCGCCTGGACGTGGGAAATGCTTCTCCGTCCCCAGAGAAGCCGAGATGTCTCCTCCTCCTCCTCCTCCACGGGTGGTGGGAGCATTGCCCCTTGCCCCCCCAGAGCTTCCGGGAGAGACGCCCTGCCGCTTGGGGCTGGGGTTTGGGCAGGGGAGGGCTGATGCTCCCTCTAAGCTGCGGCGTTTCGTGAGCAAAAATTCTACTTTGTGAGCTGCTGGCATTAAAGTCGTGAGCAAGCGATTTGGCTGCTGTGTAGATTTGTTGGCTCTTCTGGAGCCCTCCCTTCCTGAGCGAAGACAAAAAGGTGTGAGCCGGAGGCTAAAAAAACCTGTGAGCTAGCTCACACTCACTCAGCTTAGAGGGAGCCCTGGAGAGGGCCGGATTGCACCTGGCACTTTGCTTCCCCGGCAGGAGAGAAGAGAAGGAGGCCGGCAATGTCACGCTGGACGTCAGATGCTTTTTGGCGCATGCTTGGGGTGCGTGTGTGCCGTTGCCGCTCCAGGCGTGAGGTGTCAAAGGGGCCATGTCTGTCTGCCTGTTCCCCTGGCCACTCCAGCTTTCCCCCCCGGCCCCTCCTCTTGCGCGTCCTGAGTTGCCTCTGCCCTCCTCTCCCCTGCAGTTTGTTGACTTCTGCTCACAGCACACCGCGGAGCACCCGGAGGTGATTCCCTACCTGGCCAGCCGGCACCAGAAGTCCAGCCCCCAGTTCCTGGCCTCGGTGGAGTTCCGCAACGTGCTGGGCCGCTGCCTGTCGCGGGTGCAGGGCAAGCGCAGCAAGGTCTACGTCTACATCAACGAGCTCTGCACCGTCTTCAAGGCCCACTCCCAGAAGAGGAAGCTGGCCCTCAGCTCCTCCGCTTCCGCATCTGCCACCGAGGCCTCTGCCGCCGCCCCCTCCGGGCCCCCTGAGCCACAGGCCGAGCCCCCCCAGCCCCGGAGGGGCTCCAAGCGGCAGATCCGGTACCTGGAGAACCTGCTGCAGGTGTATGCGGTGGAGATCCGGCGGCTGCAGGAGCGGGAGCTGGACCTGGAGGAGCTGGACCGCGAGGACTCGGCCTACCTGCAGGAGAACCGCCTGAAGCGGCGCATGATGCGCATCTTCGAGCGCCTCTGTGAGCTGAAGGACTGTAACAGCCTGACGGGTCGTGTCATCGAGCAGCGCATCCCCTACCGCGGGACCCGCTACCCGGAGGTCAACCGCCGCATCGAGCGCCTCATCAACCACCCGGAGGCCTTCCCGGACTACAACGACATCCTCAAGGTGGTGCAGAAGGCCGACAAGCGGCACAGCCTGGGCCTGCCCAAGCGCCAGATGGAGAGCATGGCGGCCGACGCCTTCCGGGAGGTCGGCAATCGCCTGCAGGAGCGGCGCCACCTGGACCTGGTCTACAACTTCGGCAGCCACCTCACGGACCAGTACCGGCCAGGTGAGAGAGTGGGGGGGGGCTCGGGGGGGCAGAGAGGCGGGGGTGCACCCACCGCTGACTTCTGCAAGTGGGCTGCACACACACACACGCTGCTGTCTGCACCCGCCCGTAAACTACTCAAAACAGTGGGGGTGAAGAGCTCGGATGCCATGGCACCGATGGAGGGTGCCGTTAAGTTCAGCGTTCGCGTCAGTCGAAAGTTGCCCCAGAGCCCAAAGCAAGGTTACTCAATTTGTAAAGAAGGACTCGGCCAAGATGAGGGGGGGGACTCCAATCAGAAGGAAGTTCAGAGGGAGAACTAGGATGGTCGCTGTTGAATGTCATGATAAACTGAGAGCAGGAGATGGATCGGTAGATGATGTTTCTGTACGTACGCGTACGTGTGTGTCTGTGTTGCTGATAGTCGGCCTTTCTCGCTGCCATTCGAGGCGCGTTACGCAGAGTCAGTTTGATGCAATCGCCAGGGTGAGTCTTTCATTAAACAGCGGAAGAGGTTTTGGGTTGTAGAATCAGCCAGAAACCTAAAAAACCAGAAATGGAAGGAAAGCGTGAGCCTGAATAGGACAGGTCAGGAAGAGTCCCGCACTTCTGGCTCTCGGCAACGGATGCAGGGCTGAGTCACTCACTTAACGACGGTTCTGTAGCGGGATCCGACTTCAAGCAAAGCGATACACAGTAGTATAGACCCAGTCCCTAATAATCTGTCCAAATCACTCTGTGAATCCTTTTGTACAGTGCGGCTGTATTTTCTGCATGAAAAAAGCTCTCTTGGATAATTCAGTTTTTCACCGTTTGCAGAAGGCCACAGGGGGGAGGGGAGCGGACTGCCTGGCTTCCTCAGGCAGGCTGTCCTGCCACGGACGGAAGCACGTGGATAAGCAATGGTTGGTTTTGCCCACTTGCCGGCTAGTGCCTGTCGAAGTCCCCATCCAAGGGAAGCTGTCATGGTTCTGTGTGGGAGAGCCAGCCCTTTAAACTGAGCCCAGTAGGGGATGGGCAGCCCCCCGTGGTCTGGCTGCAGAGGGGGAGTCATGGATTCCTGCTCTCTCTGGCTGCCAGGAATAGCTGAGCTGTGGCACTCTGCACCAACTGGAGCCCCCGAATTGATTTTGAGGGGAGACCTGTGTACCAGTGCGTTACAACGTGTCAGGCTCCTGCATGGATCAGTTAAGAACATAAGGGAAGCCAGTGTGGGATCAGGCCAGTGGCCCCTCCAGTCTCTGTGTCACACAGTGGCCAAAAATACCAGGGGCCCTCAGGAGGTCCAGCAGTGGGGCCAGGGCACTAGAAGCCCTCCCACCATTGCCCCCCCTACCAAGCACCAAGAATACAATTCCCAACAACATTCACTCTGAAGAATGATAAGTTTATTGAGACATTGATAGGATCCAGCCTGTACACTTGGCTGTGTTAGAACTGAGGTTAAAGGCGTGAAAGCAATAGATATAGGCAGGGTTCAAGCAAGGGCCCTAAAAGGTTCAGAACCCATCACCCGCTGGAATTCTACCCGTCAAATGTAACTGTCAGCCCACCCCCCTTTCAGTGCCATCCAATGCTCCCTCCAAGCTGTGGAGCCTTGTGAGCGAAAATTCTACTTTGTGAGCTACCGGCATTTGTTAGCAAGCGATTTGGCTGCTGCATCAATGAGTTTGCTCTGGAGCCACCTCCTTCCTGAGCTAAGACAAAGATGTGTGAGCCGGAGGCTAAAAAACGGTGAGCTAGCTCACACTCACTCACCTCAGAGGGAACACTGGTGCCGTCCCCCCAAGGTGTAAGACAAAGGCAAGCGCGGAAAGAGGAGACTCAAGGACACGGATGGTTCTCAGGGCAGATCAAAGCAACCTTGGAAGTGGAAGTGTTTCCCCCCCCTCTCCCCCTCCCCGGTTGCTATGGCGAAGGAGCTGTAAAATGTAAAGTGAACTGCCAGTCTGACACAGTGGTCTAGTCTCTCCTGGTGGTGGTGGTGGCAGGGGACTCTACGGGTCCCGATCAGCTGCCTTACGGCTAAGGGGCCATCTTTCATGCTAGGCTGGGTTGGAAGAAAGCCTCTTTTCTTTTTTATTTATTTATTTTATTTATTCTTTAGATTTGTATCCCGCCCTCCCCGAAGGCTCAGGGCGGCTAACAAGGGCATAAATGCCAGATTAAAACAGTAAGAACAGTATAAAAATACAATCATACAACATATAATACGGTTATTAAAAATATCGGTGCTCCAGTACTCACTCCGAATCATAAAACCAAGATGGTGTTCTGAAGATGTTGTAACAGAACCTTTTCTTTTGCAGTGGCCTTAATATGCTTCTCTAGCAGCAGTATTGGGTCAAGTGTAACCCCGAGACTCTTCACTGCACCAGCCGGGGTCAGCTGAGCCTCACACACCAAGCGGGGAGCAACTTGAAGGGCACCTGGTATTTTTGGCCACTGTGTGACACAAAGTGTTCGACTAGATGGGCCACTGGCCTGATCCAACACTGGTGGTGTAGCCAGTTTGGTGCAGTGGCTAAGTGCGCGGTGAACCGGCTTTGATTCCCCACTCCTCCACTCGCACCTGGCTGGATGGCCCTGGGCAAGCCGTAGTTCTGACAAGAGCTGTTCTTGAAAAAGAGCAGTTTCTGTCAAGAGCTCTCTCGGCCCCACCTGCCTCACAGGGTTTCTGTTGTGGGGAGGGGAAGGGAAAGGAGTTTGTAAGCCGCTCTGAGACTCCTCTGGGTAGTGAAGGGCCATGGTTTGGTGTAGTGGTTAAGTGCGCGGACTCTAATCTGGGAGAACCGGGTTTGATTCCCCACTCCTCCTCCACTTGCACCTGGCTGGATGACCTTGGGCAAGCCCTAGTTCTGATAAGAGCTGTCCTTCAAAAAGAGCAGTTTCTGCCAGAGCTCTCTCAGCCCCACCTACCTCACAGGGTGTCTGTTGTGGGGAGGGGAAGGGAAAGGAGTTTGTCAGCCGCTCTGAGACTCCCTTGGGTAGTGAAGGGCAAGGGGTATAAATCCAATCTCTTCTCTTCTCTTATGTCCTCCAAGACCTCTGCCTTCCCAACCTGCGTCCCTTCTGTCTCCCCAGGATTTAGTTCCCATTTTTATTCACTCTTAGCCATCTGAGCACAGCAGCCAAGCAGCAATTTAGGTCCTCTACTGCATCACCGGGAGATGGCCCCCAGCCAATCAGGTAGCCAGCTGAAGCCCGCCAAAGTAATGGGTAACATTTCCCAGGAAAAAGACTAGACCCCAGGCACTCAAAGTCACATGGCACCGAAGACAGAGAATAAAGTCAGCGTAGGCACAGCAGAAACGAAAGACAGCATTCCAAAGCATCCCCCCCACATGACAGCCAGGCAGGAGGCGTAGCTGGCACCAAGTGGAAGATAAGTGTCTTGGTTATCTGTAGCTCAAGCTGGTACAGAGAAGCTCTCAAGGACACCTTGCCCTGGGAAAGGGAGAGGAGGTGCGACCTGCTAGGACAGGTATGTCTAATAACTGTGGCAACCAAAGCTTCTTCCAGCACTCCAAAGGGATCATAAGAACATAAGAGACGCCAATGTTGGATCAGGCCAAAGGCCCATCCAGTCCAACACTCTGTGTCACACAGTGGCCAGAAATACCAGTGCCATCAGGAGGTCCACCAGTGGGGCCAGGACATTAGAAGCCCTCCCACTGTTGACCCCCCCCCCCAAGCACCAAGAAGACAGAGCATAGCTCTTAGAGGAGGCTTTGACAGGAGATGTGTGACACAGGTAATGGAAATAGAGAAAGAAGTGTCAGAGCTGTTTTGAAGGGTGAGGGGTTGGCTGTTCAAAATCTCAGAGTCCTGAGTTGCTCTGGGAACCTGGAGAGATGGTCAAGGTGCCATCAGGTAGTTAGCCACAACATACTCTATCAAAGACCTCAAGATATTCTTGGCAACCTTGAAAATTCGATTCAACAGCCCACGGCATAGCCGTTGGGCTGGGGGAGCGCCTTTGCCTACCTGCTGGATGAGGCAGGCTGGGGGTTTGGCGCCAAATGCGCCATATATGGGCATCTGGTGGGGGCAGGGCCTAGGAAGTTAAGGACGGCCCTGCGTCTCTCCCCAGCAGTCTCTGTTTTCAATACCCTTCCTAATAATCCCCAGCATAGCATTTGCCTTCTTTATTGCAGTCACACACTGTCTCGACATTTTCAGTGAGTTATCTACTACAACTCCAAGATCTCTCTCTTGATCAGTCTCTGCCAGTTCAGACCCCATCAATGTGTATTTATATTTGGGATTTTTGGCTCCAATGTGCATCACCTTGCACTTGGCCACATTGAACCCCATTTGCCATGTTGACGCCCATATTTTTTACAGCTTTGCAGTGTCCTTTTTGAGATCTGGTCATCCTTGTGATGTTCTTGTGGTGTTTGGGGAGCCCTGTTCCCCCCCCCCCAAATGTCTTTCCTTGAGCCTGTGGCGGGGGGAGGACGACTTGTGGGTGGGTGGGAAGGTCCCTGCCCACTCTGGGGTACTGTGAGCCTCTTTAAGCCAGTTTGGTGTTGTGGCGGGAACATCCCAATCCATATAGCTCGGCAAGGCCACTAGCTAAGCAAATGAACTTCGACCGCGCGTGTATAGATATGGGCTCTGGGGCAAGTGATGCTCTGTCTTCTTGGTGCTTGGGGGGGGTCAACAGTGGGAGGGGCTTCTAATGTCCTGGCCCCACTGCTGTGTGGACCTCCTTGTTGGCCCCTGGTATTTCTGGCCCCTGTGTGACACAGAGAGTGTTGGCCTGGATGGGCCATTGGCCTGACCCAACATTGGCTCCTCTTATGTTCTTATGTTAAGACTCCCGGCGGGAGATGACGTAATGAGCAGGAGAGTCGCAGGGTTTCCTGAGAGCAGAGAGATTCACACCAACTGTGGACCCGCCCCAAGCCCTCCCTCCCTCACAAGGCCAGACTGATAGCGTCTGGCTCCCATGGTCTCCCTGGCATGTTTACGGCAAGCTGCTGAGCTGCAAGCAGGCGGGAAGAGGGAAGGGTAGACTACACAGAGATGGCAGCTGTGATCTCCAACCACTCCTGACGTGGAGGCGAAGTGTCTACTTTCCTCCCCTTCCCCAGGCCTTGCCATATTTCCTGAAAGTATCGAGATCTTTGCTGGCAGGACCTGGTGAGATCCCAGCCTGAGGCATGGGGGTGGGGGTGGGGGGCTCCACCTGCCCTCTGAGCAGCTGAGAGGGAAGCGGGGGGGACCTGCCTGGAGGGGCTGCGGGTGGCGCATGGGTGGGGGCTGCCTGTTTCAACCCTGGACTCTGCTCCCGTGAACAACCCACAAAGCTGCCTCCTACTGAGTCAGGCCCGCCCACCCCTTGGTCCATCCCACCATCCCAGCCCACCTTGCCTCCTCAGGCCGGCAGTGGCTCTCCGGGAGATGTCGGGGAGGGAACCTCCCGCGTGCCGAGCAGATGCTTTGCCCCTGAGCCACCGCCCTCGTGGGGTGGGGGTGGGGGGGCAGGGCGTGGGGGTGTGTGTGTTGTGTGGGATCAGGGCCCCGGAGCCACCGCCGCCCTCCTCCACTCTGCCTCTCCGCAGGTTCCGACCCGGCCCTGGTGGACAGCGAGCTGGCCCGCCGCCTGCGGCACAACCGGGAGGAGGCCCTGCAGCGCTTGGAGCACGTCGTCGCCCACTACGCCCAGCTGCAGGACAAGGGCGAGGAGGAGGAGTGGCGGCAGCGCCGGAAGCGGGGGGAGCCGGCCTCTCCCACTCCCTCCGGGGCAGCTGGCAGCGGCGGTGGCAAAGAGGTAGGCGGGGGCGTCCCTCGAAGCCAGAGAGAGGGAGAGAGAGAGAGAGAGAGAGAGCAGCTTTCCTCAGCCCCTCTTCCTCGAGGACAACACACTTGGCCTGTCTTTGCCTGCCCTTCTTTGCTGGAGGGCGGCGGCGGGGTGTGTGTGTTTTGGAGCTCCCCCCCTTCAAGGACGCAGGGGGGCCAAGGAAGCCTTCAGGACAGCCCCCAGCGCGTCAGCCCCCCCTCAGAAGGCGCCAGGGGAGTCCAGTCAGGAGGCGGCCCAGGAATGGCCACGGCCCACTTTCCCGGTTACCCGGGACAACTGGGAGGAAGCCGGCCCTGGCATCCAAGCCGAAGCGCAGGGGGGCCTGCTCCCTGCCCAGGCAGCTCGAGGTCAGCCCCGGAGGAGGAGGAGGCTGCTGCTGCTGGGAGAAGTGCCTCCCCCCTCCACCCACCCCAGTCTCCCTTTCCTTCTCTTCCCAGCCTCCTGGAGGGGCCTCACCTGCCTGCCTGCCCACCCACCCACTGCCGCCTTCTCTGTGCAGCTCTTTCTGGGCCAGGCTGGACAAGAGCCTCCCTTCCTCTGGCCGCTTCTCGGTGGGGTGGGGGGGACCGAATGCAGGGCTGGGCTTTGTGAGTGGCCAGAGCTTGCCCTCCTCTCTTTCTTGGGGTAGCGTTGGGTGAGGGGCTCACCCCTGCGTGTGTGTGTGTTTTTTTGGGGGGGATTCCAGGACCGCCCTCTCTTGGGCTTGCAGACCATCTGCAAGGGGGGGGCTGTTTGCTCTGTCCTGAAGTTGGGGGTCAGGTGGGGGCCTTGGACCCCTCTCCTGCAGTCTGCGGCCCCCTCCCTCCCAGAGCAGATCCTGAAAGGTTGGGGGGGGATGACCCCCCTGCCATCTCTGTCTCCACCCCCTCTTTAAGCCCTCTGCCAGCCCAAGGGAAAGGCACACCACTCCCCACCACCACCACCGCACACCCCTCTCAGTCCCTCTTCTGGTGGTGCTTCCGTGAGTGGGCGGGGATTTATGGTGTCGAAGGCTTCCACGGCTGGAGTTCATTAGTGGTTGTGGATTTCCTGGGCTGTCTGGCCGTGGTCTTGGCACTGTCGGACCTGACGTCTCACCAGCAGCTGTGACTGGCCTGTGCTCCATCTTTCTGTGGCATACCTCCGAGGATATCGTTCAGTGATGTTCACTACACTATTATATAATGATGACAGAAGGCAAAAACAAGTGTTGTTAACAGACTCAGCCATCACAGCTTGCCCAAACGCTGGAGAACATGTAATAGAGAATGATGTCTACTAAGTGGCTACAGTGAAACAGTACAAAATTAGAAGTTGTGATGAAGGATGAACTTTGAAACGTTGTTATCAAGCATCCGGACACAATGTCAAATTAGTTAGTCGTTTCCCATTGTTTAGACACTGTGGGACATACCAGTCCCCTGTTGTTTACATTTTGTACTGTTTCACTGTAGCCACTTTGTAGACATCATTCTCTATTACATGTTGTAATGATTCCGTGTTTTATATATGTGTGTGTGTCTTTTTAAAGTTTAGTTGCATGGCTGTGTGATAGTCTAGAGTGGTTGAAACAGGCAAGTGGTGTGATTGGTGATTGGCAGAAAGGGGGAGGGGTTTTGGAAGTAAAAATTAGTGGATGAACCGGTATGTCAGTCAAGAGTGACAGTTGAAAGATGACAGTTGATGAAGACGGTGGTGGTTAGGAGAGAGTTCTGAAGTCTGGGAGAGAAGCAGTTTTGTGTGCTTAGGAGTTAGTTCTGTGTATGAAGAAAAGTTGAATGTATATGAAACAAGAAAGTAAAGTTAAAGAGAAAAATAAAAAGTCTGAGTGACAGGCTAAAGTGAAACAGTAAACGTATATGGCCTTGAAGAAAAAAGTATTACAAAGTTACATGCCAAGATGCCTGACAGTGAGAGAGAAAAGTGTGTGAAATATCAAAGCAATTGTTTAGTATTTACCCATTCCTAGTTACAGTGTACTACCATATTATTTACGAATTATATCAATAAATCTACTTTTATTTAAGATACCAGTTCTGAAAGAAATACTTCCCAGGACCACATGAGTACCTCGAAAGCCTTAAAAACCGACCTACCTACCCAGTGATAGAAATAGTATAGTATACAGGTTTGGAAAGCCTTAAATTTCCTGGTGGCAGCCGGATATACACAGTAAAACAAAACATAAAGAACACTTTAAAGGGAAACCAGGCCTCCCCAGATAAGGGGTTGTCACACATGTTCTCCAGCTTTTGGGCAAGCTGTGATGGCTGAGTCTGTTAACTACACCTGTTTTTGCCTCGTCTCATCATTATACCTCCGAGGATGCCAGTTGCAGCTGCTGGCGAAACGTCAGGTCCGACAATGCCAGACAGCCTGGGAAATCCACAACAGCTAACGGACTGGGCTTTGCTCAGGAGACTGAAGACACGAATAGGGTGGTGCTTCTCCAGGACAGACTCAGTCCTCGAGCGCCCAGGAAGGGGGCCTTGCAGGCGGACCAGGAGGAGGAGGAGGAGGAGGAGGAGGAAGAAGAGGACTCCTCCTCCGAGTCAGACCTCGAGGCGGAGTTGGAGAAGAGCTTGGAGGAAGGAGGCGAGGAGGAGGAGGAGGGCCCCGCCCCAGGTGGGTCAGGTGGGGGGGGGCGGGACAGACCAGCCACAGGCTCAAGAGGATGGAGCCCGGCTGCAAAGGGGGCGGGCCCTTCTGGGACTCTGGCGCATGGTTGGTGGCCTCTGGCACCTGGAGCCGTGGCCTCGGTGTGAGGAGGGGGGGGGGGGGGATGGGCCAGTAAGTGTCGAAAGAGAGAATTGCACCACAGAGAGCGGCGTGGGAACCGCAAGACAGTATGTGTGTGCGTGTGTGGGGGGGAGGGTCCCTCGGGAGCGAGGCTCGAGAGGGAGTCCCGCAGAGCTAACCTAGGAGAGGACCATGGAAATAGAGCCGTATAACCCAGGGGAGAAAACCGTGCTTATATTAGCGAAAGTATAGATTGCAGCTATAATCGAAGAGTGCAGTCTCAACAAGTCACCGGCACAACTGTGCCTTCACCTGGTGTAATGGGAAAACTCGTGTGTTATGCAGTCCAGTCACAGCGTGACGGAAACCACGGGGGCAATCTCATCCACACTTCATAGTCCCAGACTCTCCTCTCCAAAGGCGAGAAGGAATCAGCTGCTGTGCCAGTGATAAAGTGCTCCTGTAAGGACAGCAGGCGGTTGTCATTCCTGGTTGTGATAGGCCAACTTCAGGGTGCTTCTGTAGGCAAGATAGACAAACTGTAGACTCTGTCACACAGTGGCCAGAAATACCAGGTGCCATCAGGAGGTCCACCAGTGGGGCCAGGACATTGGAAGCCCTCCCACTGTTGACCCCCCCCCCCAAGCACCAAGAAGACAGAGCCTCCCTTGCCCCAGACATAAGAACGTAAGAGACGCCAATGTTTGATCAGGCCAAAGGCCCATCCAGTCCAACACTGTATCACGCAGTGGCCAGAAACACCAGGGGCCCTCAGGGGGTCTAGCAGTGGGGCCAGGACATTAGAAGCCCTCCCACTGTTGACCACCCCCCCAAGCACCAAGAAGACAGAGCGTCACTTGCCCCAGAGCCCATATCTATACCTTGTGGCTAATAGCCACTGAGGGACCTCTGCTCCATATGCTTACCTTTTGAAGCCGTCCATGCTTGTAGCCACTGCCACTTCCTGTGGCAGTGAAATCCTCCGTCTTTCTGTGTTATATACCTCTGAGGAGGCCAGTCACAGCGGCTGGCAAAACGTCAGGTCCTAGAGTGCCAAGACCACGGCCGTACGGGCCGCAAAATCCACAACAGCAAATGAACTCCGGCCGTGGAAGCCTCCGACAACATGTTTTAGTCTTCTTGCTTCTGTAGACAAGATATGCAAATTGCTTTATGCTTCTTGCTCTCGAGTAGCCCTATCCCAACATTTTAAGCAGAGAGAGAGCAGTATTCCGTCAGTGGGACTGCTGGCCCGAATGTCTTCACGGGTGAATAGTCACCACACACACACACACACACACACAGAGCAAGAGGCCATCCGTGCCCTGCACAGGGAGCATTCCTGCCTTCCCAAAGGTCTCCATGTGATTGCACGGACATTGACTTCCGTGCATACAGCCACGGTTTCCCCCCTGCATGATTGTAGAGCCGGCGAGGCGGGTGGTTCCTGCAGGGGTCGGGGGGACATGAGGGCCCTCCTGGCCAGCTCGGGCGGCCTTGTGCCCAGGGGGGGGGTGTGTGTCAGTTGGCGGAGATGGGGGGCGAACGCAGCCTCCCTGGTGGGGCCCTTACTGGTCCGCTGGCAGCCAGACGGTGGGTGGTGGGTGGGAAGGAGAGGTGGGGGGGAGGCCTGACAGGCAGTCCTGACGTCTCCCCCCCCCCCAGATGAAGAAGACCCCCCAGGCCAGGAGGTGGAGGCGGACCAGCAGATGGGGGGACCGGAGGCCACGGATATCCCAGAGGTGATTCTCTACTCCTCTACGGAGGAGGAGGAAGAAGAAGAGGACGAGGAGGAAGCAGCCGCCGCCCCTGCTGCCGAGGAGGAGGGGGAGGAGGGAGCCCCCCCAGGCGTGGAACTGCCCCACGAGGAGCTCTTTGGGCTGGAGGTCGAGGAGACGCAGCAGCAGCAGCGGCCCCCGGAAGGCAGCGAGACGCCTCCCCCCTCCCCCCCGCCCCTTCCCTGGGCCC